CAGACTATCTCATCAGTCTAACAAAACTTTGAGCAGTCTTATCACTTATAACATGAACATCCCACAAAACAAAATGGAACACGATAATTATCCCCACAACACGCAAGTTCACCCCTAAAATTCATAAAGCCATCTAGAAAACGCGATTAGGAGTCCCCATGGTACTCTTCAAGTACAGGCACCTCACCTGAATTCACAAATAAAAGTTCAGTCAGAACAAGCATATATAATGTTAATCCATAAACAGATTAAGGCTCAATGGGGCAGAACAATCATGTGCTATTAAAACAATAATTACAATGATAGAATATAACTTTACAACCAAGGTTGAGGACTATTAAATATAAAAACTCACATTTTGCCAATTTTTCTTCAGCAATGAAACCAGAAAGTTGACACTCATTTGCACGTTCTGGAAAATTTGCTTCTCCTCCATTCCAACATTCCCAACAGCAACTCCCATGCAAAGTACCTTCTTCAATTGGAACTTAACTGTTGCCTTGGTTTCATTCACCTTAGACTCAAGGGATTCTTGGTGGGTAACAAGTGTTGGGAACTTTCCTGCATTTGCACATGACATAGACCACAGATCAGCATGCTTTTTTTTTTTTTTTTTGAAAAATAAAAGTAAAAAAGGATCAGCTACAAAATCCATGCTGCAACCATTAATCATTATCATTGTTTTCCCATCAATAATAAATTCGTTTTGTGGATACAGTAATCACCAGATGAAAACAGCTTTACAACTGAAAACATCCTGCTTAATACATTTCTCATGCCAGTAGACAGCAGCCACTAAATAACACATGCATATAATTCCACAAAACCAGAAAAGACATTACATGTATGCTTTGACATAGGTTGCTCAAAATACAAACAGTATTCACACAAAGACTTGCCTGCTTTGTTGAGACCCGGTCCAAGGAGACGGGGAATTTGCTTGATGACTGACTCAGATGCCAAAAAGGCATGGTACTTCTTGGCAAGTTTCTTAACAAGTTTCTTGTTCTTGTTAAGCTTCTTCAGCCCTTCCACATCCATGTAATCCAGACCAATCTTCTCTGCCTGTAAGACAGATCACTAGTTAATAATTTCATAAACAAAGATGTCAAAGGAGTTGGGTAAAATCGAACTTTAATTACCTCTTCAACATGTTGGGCATCTCCAAGCATGCATATCTTCATTTTGGGTCTGGGAATGTGAGGCAACTTGACAGAACCACTGAAACGCTTGTCTTTCTGAGGGTCATAGTTCTTCAATCCAATTTGGAGTTCAATTGTCTCGGTGAAATTACGCTTCTTCTCAGTGGACGCAGCCTTGATGGTTGAGATGGCTTCTCTGAGAGCATCACTCTGAAGCTTACTGTAATACAAGAAAAATATAGATGAACCTTGAGTTAAAAAGTACAAACAAAGAACATTATTCGCAAGCACTACAACAATAGAAATCCCATCAAAATCAAGAAAAAAAGAAGTAAGCAGGCTAATAATTGTACCCAATTTCTTAATTCAGAGAAACTGCAGAGAACTCACTAACCATGAAAAAACCAGTCTAAGTTCACCATTTCACAAATGAATTTGGAAAAATAATTATCATGTAACTCAGAAGTACCAAACTCTTAAACTAGTCAATTACACAAATGATCCCATAGATAAAAAATGCTAAGCACAGAAATTACAGACAGCAGTACCCATATAAAAAAGTCCAAGCACAGAAGCTAAGCATGTCCAGGTTGAACAACCATTAAGCAACAAATAGATCCACTATCAAAAACCAATTCCCCATTTCAAGACTATAATATAAGTTACCAAATCGAAATCTCAGTTATCAAACAACAGCAGAATTATCGACACAAAAGAAAAACAACGTCAACCATGTTAATGAATCATCAATTACAGAGATGCATTAAAACAGAGATTTAGCATACCTCATCTCCGAAACTGAGCTCCTTCTTAACCCACACTAGAGATTTTCCCTGCAAACATGTTTCAGAAACATCAGAACAGAGAAAGACATCAGAGGAAACAGAAATGAGATCTGAAAATCGAGATTGGTATTATTGAAGGGGGCGGAGAAGGGAGTAGAGAGCGTACCGGCGACTAGGTGAAGAAGAAAACCCTAACCAGACACTTTTCTGCGGCTTAAGAGATTTATATAAGAAGTCGAGATCGAGAGAGAGGGATAAACCCTAGCTGGAGAATTGGGCTCCACTCCGAATAGTCGAGCCCAAATTAGAAATGGTGTATATTTTTGGGTCATACTGCCTCGAGACCATCCCTAGTTTGCAGTTGAAGGTGGGCTGGATATGGAGTGTTTGTTTAACGACCCTGGCCCAAAAAATAATAGACCTTTTATTTTTATTATTTTTTTAAAAAAGAACAGAAAATTGTTCTTTAACCTGGATCACAGTCATTTGATATAGGTCCATGGTGAGAAAATGAGGCTCTTAATCCTTTGTTTGAAAATGATTTTTTTTTGTTTTAGATTGCGTTTTGGGATTATTTTCTCACAATGTTTTTTTTTTTTTGTTTACAGTATTTTATAAAAATGTTAATTTAAAATAATTAATTGATATTTTGTATAATTTTATAATCATAATAATGTATATAATTTTTTTAAATAATTATTAAATAATAACATAATTTTTTATATAATAAAATATTTAAAAACCCACAAATATAGTATTTTATATCATCCTCAAACAAAATCTTAATTGTCACATTTTTTGAATATTTAAAATGTATAATTTGAAGGAGGCCGACGGTCTTACCGATTGAGGCCGAACGGTCTGTGGCAGCCCCACCTTGTTAATTTCTTTTGACTTTGTTATGGTTAAATTAAGAATTGGTCCCTTAATTTAGTAATTTAAAATCATTTTAGCCCCTCAAATTTTTTGGACTATTTTTTAGTTTTTAGACTTTAGTTTTAAGCATTATAGAGCTAAGATTATTTTAAATTTCAATACTTAGGATGTTAGTCTCTAGATTTTTTAGAGTTTACTAGTATTTAAGGTGTTGGGGGTTAAATTTTTTAAAGTTTAGGATTTAAAGTGCCTGTAAGAATTTAGAATTTAGATGTCAAGGTTTACATTTTTTAGGATTAGGGTTTATATTATTAGGTTTTAGGATTTAATATTTAAATTTAAGATTTAATAACTTAAAAATTAAGATCACAGCGCTTAAAATAAAATATAAAAATATTTTATCTAAAAAAACAAAATAGTTATAAAACCCAATAGACTTGGGAACCAATTTGTTCTTATAATGTTACTCATTTAAAATTAATTGTCATTAAATTTTTTCTTTCAATTTTAAGAGTTTTAAAAGGAGAGACGGTTGTCTACACTTACATAATTCCATGGTAACCTTCTTCTCATGAAAATAAAAGATCATGAGTTTAAGGCATATAACATATATGTAAGTGGGTTAAGTTAAGGAATGAGAGAGAATTATTAACTCCTATTGTGTAATTTAAGATAAATAATAATAATAATAAAAAGCAACAGTTATTTTATAAGTATAAGGACTTTCAGGCAACAAAAAACTAGCCTCCCCCATCCAAGAGTCCTTGTTTCAAAATTCAAACTATAAAACAGCGGACTTGTAAGGCAAAATATGGAATGTAAATCCCTATTGATTGTGCCTTTTAGCTATTAATTGAACTTTTCTGTAATTGTAGCAAAGGAAAGTATGGCAATTAAAGTGGGAGTGCAAAATTTGTATCTCAATTTTGCTCATAATGACCAAGAACTCAAGAACCATGTGTATTTTCTCTCTTTCTCTAAAGCTTAAACATTTAATAGGGGAAAGATTCTATTAGTGAAATGAGAAATAGAATTTAGAAATATAAAAATGTTATAGTTACAATATCATGTGACATTGTAAATTTACATTATTTGTTACTATATATTTAGTTTTTTTCATTCAAAAATCTACTCATGATATTATATGCATTTACACATTTAATGGCATATCATATCATTTAATATCACGTAAAATTATAAACTTACAATCTAACATTGTATTATAATTATAGTATTATCGTTAAAATATGATTTATCGTCCTCTTAAACTCTCAATTTAGAAATCTTATATTTAAATCTGACGGAATTTGAAAACAAAGAAAATACATTGTATGTATAATTTCAAAGATGGAAATGAAATAACATCTATAACCTCCAATAGCAAAAGCATATTGCTCATAGATTGCAATTTTAATATGGTAACTTGAAAAGAAAAAGCTTGGATTTTTTTGCCATAACTAATTCTTTCTCAATGCCATTGGCAATCCCTTGGTGAAAAGTAGCAAAGAGATCTTGGTGCTTATATAAAGAGCATGAAATTCTAGGCTACATTTCATCTCTATACATCCCTTCTTCTTCCCAGGGAGAGGAAGAATTGGTGTTGGTTTGTACTTTTACCTTTTGCTTCATTATCTCTTCTTCAACAAAGCACTAAAAACATTCAATTCAGAGTTTCAGATTGCAGAGAGAGCTTATATAATTCAGTGGTATGTTAAAGCTCTTGACGATGATTACCTTTAATTTACAAGATGAATATTAGCTGTTTTCTATAAATCACTTTACGTTCTCTATTTCTTTAATTAGGTCAATTTCAAGCAGAAGAAAATGGGTGATAACTCAGTGGATTGGATGAGCGTACTAAAAGCAGTATCAGATAATGAGTTATATATGAACATACTCTTCGGGGACATGAAAGACGAAACCCCTCAAGAAATGGAAGGAGCCACTATGATAAACCAAGCTGCAAACCCTGAAGAAATGGTACAAGATCAGGAAACCAACCTAACCTTAGCTGCACCATTACAAAACCTCCAAGTCCCAGAATTTGGGCCTTCTTCGTCTTCATCAATAGTGTTCCAAGAATCCACCACTACTGTCCAGAACAAGATTATCAATGGAGGATCCCTCTTGAACCCATTAGGCTTCCCTTATCAGCCAGCACTGGTGCAGCCACCGTCTTCAGCCACCGTGGAATTAGAGAACGGTGGCCAGAGCTCATCCTCACTAGGACTGCCTCAAAACACTCATGGTGGTGAGAAGAAATTGATTGTTTATAGGAAAAGGGGAAGGAAGAAAGAGGAAGAAGCTGGCGAGGCTGATGATGCTGAACAGAGGAAGGAATTAACTAGGATTAAGAACAGAATCACTGCTGCAAGATCTCGAGCTAAGAAACAGGTTGAAAATTAACATTCATGCATAATCTTTAATTAATTAGATTAATTACATTAGTTATTAAGTGATTTATTTATGTAGACTGAGTTATTTATTTATTTGTTTATTTTTATTTTTCCATTGTAGGAGCACACAAAATATCTGGAAGAAAAAATTGAGGAACTGAGAAATGAGAATGATCATATCAAGAAATTACTGACCATGGTCTGCTGAATGAATGGCCTGATCCCAATAAAAATATATAAATAAAACGAAGAACTTATTAATTTTATATGTGAATCTAAGTTAAAGTTAGGGATTAATATGTTAAGTAGATTAACTTTGTGAATTTGTGAATTCACAGATGGAAGAGGACATGGAAACGAAGAAACAGGACATGGCCGAGAAGGCTGCATTGAAGAGGACCTCAAGTTCTGGAATTTGACATCCAAAAATCACAATGGACTCATCTTGTTTAATCACCAAGTTACAGGGTGAATGCTGTTAATTTCAAGACATTCAGCTTAGACTTGTTAGTCAGGTCAAGACATTATAATTATATTGTATCAAAGTTTTAATAAAAAAATTCGTAGTTTTCATTTTCCTTTTTCGTGTTCATCATTCTTTTCTTAGTTAAAAGTAAGGAATCATGAATTATTACTAATAAGTAATAACATATTATGCAAACAACATAAGTAATAAAAGAAAGGTACAGAGCTGAGGTTCCTTGGATAGTTTCTGTTCAGCACATACTTTGTATCCTGAGTCGTTGATGTTGATGATAAGGAGCCATCCTCCGTCCCTCTGCCATCAAAGCTTCTCGAGCCAATCCAAGTCCCTTTGGGGCCAACAACGCATCAAAGGAAGAATAATCCATCCAATCCTTAAGCAACTCCTCCTTCTCCCATTTATCCGGTATTGGAACTCGTCCTGCCACCTCTTCTCTATGCCTTTTCAGCCTCTCCCTGCCTGATTCTCTTAGTTGCAATGCTTCTGCAGCCTCCTTTAACTCAAAGGAATGACAATTACCATGCCCGCCAATGATATTGGCCTTGTTTGTTTTGGAGGAAAAGGAGGGAAACCGGCGAACCCCCTTCCAGCTGGGAGGGGTGGTTTCTCCCTCCTGCATGGAAGAGAATTGCGGTGCCTTCATTTTTTGGTGCTGCAACAATGGGGAAGTAGGGTTGTTGATATTATAAGACTGCTGTGTGGGGAAGTAGAGAACACGTTAGAGTGATTTGATTTGTATGGTTTGGGAGATACCTACGTGGGACATCATGTACCGTACATGACAAATTTGTGTGGCTTATTTATTCTTTTGCTTGAAAGGGATTTTGGGGCAAATTGGACTTTTGGAGAAGTGTGTGGTTCTTGGAAGGGTTTAGGGTCCTCTAATGCTTAATAGGGTTGGTGGGTGGGTTTGCCTTGAGGCACTTGAGGTGGACAAAGTGAGCTCACAAGAATTCATTCATTTAAAGATGTGGACATCAGCTAAAGAAAGTAAGATATTTCTCAGTGATATTAGCTTTGAATGGGCCAAACTCCATTGGTGTGCAAAATTGTTCTAAAATAAATGAGGTCCAAAGCCTAAACCTTTGATCTGAGCCAAATGTGTAGCGAAGGCAAATATTATAGCCAATAAAGAAGGATACCTGCAGTAGGTTGTTTGTAGTTTACCTAATGTAGAAATAGATGCAGTAGGCAAACAAAAAAACAATGCAACAGTTGAGCCTCCACACAAAACAGACCTGCGTCAAACAAAAGATCATAATAATGACTTTAGATGTTTCGAGTGTTTGTGAACCCATATTGAATGAAACGTTTACAGGAACACATACCTCCACAACCATTCATGGTCTTCTACAGAGTGATGAATGTATGTCAAACCAATACTCAAGCATGACAAACATGGCAAAACAAAATACTGGGAAGAACGACCATTTTAGCCCCACGAGCTCACATGGTACAACTCTAGGACAATTGCACTGAATGAGAAGAATCCAGCAAGAAACATTCCACAAAGTGTTTTTCTATACCAAGCTAATTGTGGAATCTCTCTTGGGAATATTTTTGTAGCACAAGGCACTTGTAATTCAGACCTGCAGTGGTGCCCAGTCATCCTTCCCAAAGCTAGCAATAGTGTGGTGACAAATATAAATGTGAGAATAATCACAAAAGTATATAGTGCCAACTGCCAACAGGAAGTGCAGCCATGGCCTCGTAAGACGCAGCAATGGCCTCGTAAGGTGCAGCAATTGTATTGAGAATGGAAATTGTCACAAACAAGGGGGCAAGGAACCTACATAGAATAATCCAGCAAAAAGAACACTCCTTTCCTGAAAATTGACAATGTTTTATTAAACATGAAATACAAAAAACAACATGAAAGACAATATATAATAGAAAATTGCCTATCCAGTTTCAGCAAACTGACAGTGGAAAGAAGCAGTAGGGTTCCCAGCAACTACTAACTTCAGTGTACATGTAAACACAAGTGAAGTGCATGGCGCTTCACCAATGTAGAAATAGAGTACACCAACAGATACTAGCACAAATAAGCAGCAAAATCTGAAGCAAAAGCATAACTATTAGGATTTTTTTTTTTTTTTTTTTTTTTTTTTTTTTTGTATCATCATACTCAATTCATCTTTAAACAGTGTCCAGAATGAAGTCATTGATATTAGACACAGAACCTTTTGGACCCTGTTTAACTTGCACATCACACCCAACCAGAAATCACCATTACGTACCATTGACTCTATAAGTTTGTACGACAATTATGCAACAATAGTTGAAGAAAAAAGGCAAGAGAGTTACAACTCACAATGATAAAATCCAACTGCTATAAATTAAAGCATAAAAATGTTTGATGAAACTGAGGGAGGCTGAGAAGGAAACAAAATGAAGGTGCATAA